AGTCCTGACCTCAGCTTCTGCATCTCCAAAAGGGCCTTCTCAGGCTCTTCCTGCCCCTCCCACCTGGCCCTAGCTGGGCAGGGGGCATTGACCTCAGCATCCTAGGCCCTCTGAGAGTCCTAATCATCCAGCCCCACCTGCTTCACTCCCCATCTTTCTCCCAGGCCCCTTCTACCCTCCCCAGGTGTCACTTTCAGTTCCGCACACAAGCTCATTCCCCCAGGCTCCCACCAAGGCCCAGCAGAGGGGCTGGAAGGAGACCCTCCCCAACTCCATCCAAGCGCGGGAGCTGGGTAAGAGGCGGGGAAATGAATATTAATTTATCATGATTAGGCAAATCCGGCAGGGAGAGCCGATTCCGGCGGAGGAGGCTAAAAAGATGAATTTCAGCAATAAAATTAAATAAGGACGGACGGGCAGCCCCTCCTCCCTCCCGCTTTGCTGATCTCTCTCTTTCTTACAATTTATGAGGCCAATTATGAAGATGAGGTTGGAAGTTCCTGGAACTTCACTAAATGCAAACGGCGGTCCCTGCTGTTCCCATCAAATTAATTAACCGCACGCTATTGATGGCCGCTCAAGGCTGACGCAGGCAGCCCACCCTGCGGCCTCCTCCATGGACAGGAGGACACAGGGTCCGGGGCCCAGCCAGGGCTCCACCTGCAGTAGGCACTCCAGCACCACTGGGGACTTCCAGGGACTCCCACCTCCTCCTACCCAACACCCTGCCTGAGCCCTTAACAACACAGGGCCTCCACTGAGACCTAAACAGACAGGGCCACGTGGACACATGCCCAGGGTTGAGCACACACACACACGCAGAGACAAAATCATGAACACGCAGCACAGACGCAGGGTCCAGGAATGTGCGTTAGGCACACACATGCCCCTGCAGTGGAACATGAACACGCATATGCATGGGCACTACACACACAACAACCGAGCTGAGGGAACCGGAGCAAGGGGCCGGGGGGAGGTGCGCTGTGTCTGGGGCTCTGGGCCTGCTCCATCAGGGCCAGGCTGAGTCCAGCAGGGCAAAGGTGTCACCATTGCTAAGAAGCTCCACTCAAGCAACGGGCAGTGGCCTGCCTTCCCTGGCGTCTGTACTGCCCTCCAGGGGCAACCTCGGGGCCGTACCCATGGCCCCTCAGCCCCCGGGACCTCTCTTCATCTCCAGGCCTGGGGCCTTCTTCAGGGACGTTCCCTGCAGTGTGGGGACCAGGTCTTGCCGAGACACCCCAGTAGGATGATGAGGCTGAGACCTGGCCCAGAGCCTCAGGCCAGTTGGGGGCTTCATCCCTGAGGACTCCCCAGTTCCAGAGCTCAGAAGCAGTACTGCCCTTCCAGAACCAAGGGTTCTGGAAAACTAAGGGCAGAGCAGACATAGGGCCAAAGGCGCCTGTGGCTGAGCCCATCAAGGCCTGTAAGCCCAGCAGCAGCAGGTGCCCCAACATCTGTAACTTGCATGGGAGGCCGCTCCCTCAGATAACAGGGGAGGGCCTGGAAAGAGGCGCCCCTGTTTGGGGTGCCCAAGTCTTCTCCAAGCCAGTCCTCCATCCTGGCAAGAGGCATCCTGTTCCATTTAAAGGGAGAGTAATTCCATGATTCTCCTGGAGAAGCAAGACAATGGGCCTGGGTTTGCCTTTCCCAGCCATTGGAACTGTAGGATGGGACACAGCTGGACTTGCCCACCTTGTGCCCACTCCAGGTGCTGCCTGGGAAGCCCCTGCCCCATGCCCACACCTGCCTTGTGAGCAGCCAGAACCCAGGAGGAAAGGCCAGGGCCTGTCTTGTTCCCCTTTCCTGGTGCCCACACCTGCGCTGTGAGCAGCTGGAACCCAGGAGGAAAGGACAGGGCCTGTCTTGCTCCTTTTAGTGTAGGTCTAAGGTCAGGACTGAGGTCGCCACCCCAGGCCCTGGGAAAAGATGAAGCTCCGAGCTCAGTTGGGGTGGGGCAGAGCAGCCCACGGGGGACTTGCATCTTGCACAAACTGTCAGGAAGAAACTGAAATTAGGGAGGCTCAGACTGAACATGTGGTGGCCCTGGGCTCATGTGAGGCTCCCCTTTCCCCACACACTTCAGAGGATGCCCTCTACCTCACAGCAGGGCTTGCTCACACTTGCTGTCCCTCTGCCTTTGTACAGGGAGAGCCCAACACACAGTCTATTGGGTTTCTGCAGTCACATTAACAAATTACACCAACTTACTGGCTTAAACAACAAAGTCATTATCTCACAGTTCCACCAGCTCAAAATCCAACAGGCCTCCCTGAGATAAGGCCAGGCATCAGCAGGGCTGCCATCCTTCTGCAGGCTCTAGAGTAGAAGCTGTTCCCTGCCTTCTCTGACTCCTAGAGGTTGCTCACACTCTGCTGGAGATCTTTCCCCATCTTCAAAGCCAGGAACTTTGCATCTCTCTGACCTTTCCTCATCAAGTCTCTCTGATTGTAGTTTTTTTTTTTTTTTTTGAGGCAGGGTCTCACTCTGTTATAGCTCAGGCTGGAGTGCAGTGGTGTAATCTCAGGTCACTGGAACCTCTGCAACCTCTGCCTCCCAGGCTCAGGTGATCCTCCCACCTCAGCCTCCCAAGTAGCTGGGATTATAGGCACCACCACGTCTGGCCACGCCTCGCTAACTTTTGTATTTTTTTTTTTGTAGAGACGGGGTTTTGCCATGTTGGCTAGGCTGGCCTCAAACTCCGGGGCTCAAGTGATCCGCCCACCTTGGCCTCTCAAAGTGTTGGGATTACAGGCGTGAGCCACAGCACCTGGCCATGACTGTTGCTCTTAAGAACTCATGTTTACATTGGGCCCACAGGATTCCCCAGCATAATCACCTCATCTCAAAATGCTTAAGCTTCATCACATCTACAGAGTCCCTCCAGCCAACTAAGGTGACATATTCACAGGTTCCAGGGATTAAGACATGGACGTCTTCAGTGGACCATTATTCTGCCTGCCACATGTGGCCTGTCCAAGGACAACCCTGGCTCAGGGACAGAGTGATGAAGAACCGGGCTAGAGCAGGGAGCAGGCTTGTGGGGTCTCTCTCCACCTACTCCAGGCCAGGTGGTGACTGGGTGGTAGGTGTGTGGGGTGCTCAGTTGCTGGACAGAACCCGAGTTCCCACCAGGGCCCTGCAATGGAGTCTCCCTGTCTGGCAGGATGGGAGACTGGGCTGAAAGCCTGCTCAAGAACCAGGTTCAGCACTAAAGTGCCTTGGAACCCCCAATACTCACATTCCTTGCTTACTTGGACTCAGAGAACCTCATTTCACCCCCAAACTGGGAAGCCTTTCTCAAGACTCAGAAATCCCTCCATCAGCTCCTCTGCCTCAGTGGTTCTTCTCCTGGGCTTCTGTGTCAGACTGGGCAGCCAAAGGGTCACCCAGATGGGTTGCTGGAGGTGGGGCATGCTCCCTCTTTATCCCACGACTTTGTGTTGCCCTGGCCAGGAGGTAGGACCAGGAGTCTGCATGGTTTCCAGGCAGTCTCTGAATTCTGAGTCTCCTGGGAAAAGGAGTTAAGGCAGATGGGCAGGGATGTCAAGAATGGAGGTCAAACCCTGATTTCACACAAAGAAGCAAGCAGTATCCCTCCCTGCAGTCCCGGGACCTCCCTCTGTGTAGGAAAAGAACTTGGGTGAGCCACTCTATGGCCTGCTGCACACTGGTTCCCTCCACCCCTGGCCCTGGAGGTCCTGTTCCTTGGGCCTGGAGCAGGCTGGGGCAAAAGGAGAGAAACAACTTCCACATTTGGACCCAGACACGCGTCTTTGGACTTCTGCTGACTCCAACTCTTGCTGGGGACAGCAGCAGGCACTGAGGGACCAGTCCAGAGAGGGACCAAAAATAGCCTTCACACCCGGGGGCTCAGGCTTTCCCCAGTCCCTCTCCTGTCTACCCAGGCCCACTGTGGCTCTTGGCAGCCATGTGTCTCTGGGAGTAAACGTTCTCGGGGGAGAGGCTCGCCCCTCCAGAAGGCTTCTGGGCTTTTGATTGGCCATCTCTCGGGTTGGTGCTGAGCTGTGAAAGGGCCCTCCAGGTCCTGTGGGCTTCTGATTCCTTTCCCAATATGATCAGTGATGGGAAGACTCCCTGACTTACACGTCAGGGGTGTGAGCTTGAGTTGGGGGGCCTACTCCCAGGCTGCTAGGATCCCAAGATCGAGACCAGGCAGACAAAGGCTGGCTCCGCGACTCTGCAAGTTACCAACAGGCATGTCGCCCACCTAGCACACTCAAGGTGGGATTCCCCCTCTGGAGCCAAAGCTGCCCTCACGCGTCACCACCCAAACCCCAGCACGGGGCCTCTTCAGGCTCCTCGCTCCTCCTCCAATACAGTCTCCTTCTGACTCTGTGCCCGCTCCTCCTCATACCTGGGCTGCCTGAATCCATGCCCCGACTCCCCCACCAAGTCTCCCTGCCCTGCGGAACAGCCTCAGGAAGCCATCCTGCACTCCCCAGTGGGACCTGCTCTCGTCTGCTCTATCAAACAAAGCTCTGCTTCCAGTCCTCTACCAGCCCAGCCTGCTCCTGACTCCCAGCACACAGTGTCCTCTCTAAAACTGGTCCTTAATTGTCCCCCAACAGAGCCTGCTGACTCCTCTCAGAGGCAATTTCCCTGCCAGTCTGCCTCTCTCCTCCTCCGGGAAGCCTTCCCTGGCTGCCCATCCCTGTGTACACAGGTCACTATTTAGTTGTTCCTAATGGTTTCCTGAGTCTTGCCACTTTTGCTTATGTCCCTGATAGCCTGGTCTAAGGCAGGGCCTGCAGAAGTTGGTGATGGCTAGATAGGAGCTCCAGGTACCTGACTCCATGATTCTCCCTGGTCACAACCACTGCTGTCCTTGCTGTGAGTTTAGGAGCTGACTCACGCCAGTCCTGTCTAGAGGGCAGTTAAGACAGCCTTTCTGGGCTCCTCTTTTCAGTTCCCATCTCCGTCGTCCCTGCCTGGGTGGAAGAAGGTAGGTAGAAGCTGCAGCAGTTCAGACACCAGGCAGGTTCAATGTCAAATGCACTTTACTGGGTCCCTGGGCCTTCCAACACTGTCCTCACCGAGGCTGGGGCACCCCATTCCCAGCACCACCAGCTGCCCAGGAAGCAGCATGGGTAGAGGGAACACATGTGGAATGGCTGTTCTCCTACCCCAGAGGGTCTTGGACGATGTTGACAGCACAGCTGCTTCCCTCTCCCCGGCAGCTTCTGTCCCCACCCAGCAGCTCAGCCTTTCTCATAGCAGGGAAGGGGGATGCCTGGGGCTTCAAATCAGCCACCTGCTCCTGCTTAAAATGGGATAAGGGGCCACTTGCAAAATTCTTCAAGGCAGCCTGCTCCTGTCTGGGAGAGGACTGGGTAGACACTGGGAGCCATGCTGGCTCTCGCTTCAGGCCCAAAGCCCTGGGTCCAGCTCGCTGAGGAAGCTGGTGGTTGGAGCAGCAAGGTTTGGCCAGCTGAGGCTGGAGGGAGTACCCCACTGGGTGGCCAGGAGGGGTAGCCAGTCCAACTCAGCTCTCCTCCGCACCCCCAGCCATGGGTCACCAGTCCCGCTCAGCAGGTTCTCGGTAGGGGAGGCCTAAGAGCCTGAAGACATCCTTCTCAGTGGGAGTGGGCAGCACTCGGCCAGGCCCCATCTTGCAGCCATGGGTGTTCCGGACCACAGCAGTGCTGAGGGCATGTTCTGACAGACTCATGCCCTTGGTCTTGGCCAGGGCTCGCATGGAGCGGTTGAAGTGTGCAGAGCCGGTAAAGTAGAGCAGGGCACAGGCAAACTCGCTGTAGGGCACCACGATGATGTCCAGGCGCCGGTGTCGCCACCCTGGCCCTGGGAGCCGGCACACCCCCAAGTACTTCTGTTGCTGACCATTCTCCTCTTGGCTCACCAAGTCATCTGTGAGGAACCCTGGCCCAATAGAGGGGACTGCTGGGAGGGCAGGGAGCCAGGCCTGGGCTATCCCATCCTCTCAGGTCTCTCCTGATCTCTAAGCTGGGGCTTGCCCAGGTATTAGCTGGGTGACACTACCCTCTCTGGGCCCTTCTCCTTTTCTGTAAAACATGGATAGTAATTCCCATCTCCCCCACAGTGTCACAGAAAGATCAGATGAGATACTCGGCCTGCAGGGTTCACTGAGCACCTCCACATAGGTGTGGCAGGGCTGCTTCATCTCTCCCTGGAGAGGATTCCAGCCCCGATAGAGATGGGATGCTGGCAAAGCACTGTTCCTCTGCTTCCTGCCTCGGGACTGGAACTTCTAAGGTTCTCCCTCGGGGGCCCCCAGCCCTGTGCTGCCCTCTGTCAACCTGCTCACCCAGAGATGGAGCTCATACCTTGCTGCCGAAGGCTGTCAAGGAGGCGGCTGAAGATACCCCGGTGGGACCGGCCATCTGGATGAGTGATGAGCACGTCGACATCACCACAGGTTGCCTTTCCCCGTCGGTATGAACCACATGCCACACATAGCAGCCTGGAGTTAAAGGCCTGAGCTGCTTTCTGGACCTGGGAGAGAGCAGTGACAGGTGAGGGGCCGTGGGGAGCTCCTCTCCCACAGCAGCACAAGGGCCTTCCCGGACTCGGGCCCACACCCTCAGCTTATGCCCATTCCCCAATGCCTGCTGCAAGCCTGGGGGAATCCACCCTGGGGAGCTGCTGTTCTTTCCCTTCACTAGGACAGGAGAGAAGAAAAAGCTCACTGTGCAAGAGGCAAGCCTGAGAAGAGATGGGAGAAGGTGCCAGCTCTGCTTGTCAGAGTGGGCACTGAGCTTGCCCCATGGAGCTCTTTAAGAGTAAGGAGACACAGACTCTCTCTGCCCCTGCCCTAGCCCACATGCCCAGGTCTGTGAAATTCCACTTAGGACAAGGGGCCAGTTGCTGAAAGCCCTCAGTCAGGTCTAGGTAGCCGCAGATATCTACTGATTTGGAGCTAAAGGTTTGGAATATGTGAGCTGGGGCTTGAGGCCTGAGCAGGTGGCTGGCAGCATGTGCCAGGCCCAGGCCCGGGAGAAAGTGGAGTACAGAAATACAGCTGCACCTGTGGGAAAGGAGAGGAAAGAAAGCAAAGACGGGGCAGTTCTAAGCCAAGAGCCACATCCTTTCTTGGTGGGGAGGGAGCTGAGACGGCAACTGTCAGCTGAAGGACTGTCCCTCTGAGGAAAAACAAACCCATTAGCCTCCACTCCTGAGACACTGAGGTTCTTTCATATGCAGATGGCCTCCCGCCTCCACCCCAGGACACGGAGAATTCTGGGGTCCTGGACACCTCAAGTCTCCTGACAGGAGGGCTCTGCTAATCCCCTTACTCCCTTCTTGAGCCTCCCAAGAGAATGGAAGGAGGAGGTCCATGTGAGTAATCCCATCAAAACTTCTATGGCTCGAGCCCTTAAATGGGAGCACAGGAGGCCAGGTGGGAAGCCTCTTTTGTTCCAATGGGCTGGGGACTGACTGAGGCATTCTCCATGCCTGGATACCATGGCTGAGTGACGGTGTCATCACTAGCACCAAGGCCTGGTGATGGGCAGACAAAGAGGCCTGTCCACCCGTCTCATACCGGCCTCATAGCCTTGTGGCCTGGAATGAAGCTGGAGGCCGATTTCAATCAAACTGGGCCAGACTCCATGGGATCCCACTCTTTAAGAATCCCTGACCAAAGTGAGCAAACCTTGCCTATTATAAGCAGCTCCTAATCCTAATGCCCATTGAACAAATGACACATCTAGCCCTAAATGCAGCCCAGTGTCTCTCTAATCTAGCTTTTACATGAACTTAATAGCTAACCCAACTCTAAACCAAACCCAAATCTTATTTCTTGGACAACTACAAATCTTAACTTAAAAGCAACCAACATTAAGAAAATCCTGCCGGGTGCAGTGGCTCACGCCTATAATCCCAGCACTTTGGGAGGCCGAGGCGAGTGGATCACGAGGTCAGGAGATCGAGACCACCCTGGCTAACACGGTGAAACCCCGTCTCTACCAAAGATACAAAAATTAGCCGGGTGTGGTAGCGAGCACCTACAGTCCCAGCTACTCGGGAGGCTGATGCAGGAGAATGGCATGAACCCTGGAGGCAGAGCTTGCAGTGAGCCGAGATCGAGCCACTACACTCCAGCCTGGGCAAAAGTGCGAGACTTTGTCTCAAAAAAAAAAAAAAAGAAAAAGAAAAAAGAAAATTGAAGCCTAACTTTAAACTCAATCTTTTTTTTTTTTTTTTTCAAGACAGAGTCTTGCTCTGTTGCCCAGGCTAGAGTGCAGTGGTGTGATCTTGGCTCACTGCAACCTCTACTTCCCAGGTTCACACAAATCTCCCTCTTCAGCCTCCCAAGTAACTGGGATTATAGGCATGAGCCATGGCACCCGGCTAACTTTTCTGTATTTTTAGTAGAGACGGGGTTTCGCCATGTTTGCAAGGCTGGAAATTTTTGTGTTTATATAGAGACAGGGTTTCACCATGTTGGCCAAGCTGGTCTCGAACTCCTGAGCTCAGATGATCTGTCCACCCTGGTCTCCCAAAGTGCTGGGATTAAAGGCATGAGCCTGGTCTTAACTCAATCTTGATGGCGCTTTCTTCCAACCCCAAACCAAATCCTACTGACGCTGTGCTTTTACACCAACTCTACCCCAAATCCTGAGCCAGCCTTGCATGGGCTTTAGAAGGTCCATGCATCTGAAAAAAGACATAAACCTTCGCACATTTGTGCATTTTGGGGAGAACAGACTCCACAGTTTTCATCAGGTTCTCAAAGAAGTTGGTGAAATAAAAAATAAGATAAAATAAAATAAAACATTAAAAACCTCTGCCCTGACCCACCCTAACCTCAAGTAATACAGATATAATCTACCTGTAATCTAACCCTAACATTAACCCAGTCCTAACACCAATCAGTCTAGAATCAAATCCAAGCCTAATAGGCCTGACTACTGAGAACTAGAATCTAGAGGGCTGGTGTTACAGTTCTTTCCTCCCAAAGCCACCCACCCCACCTCTGGGCCTGGAGCTTCAGTCTCAACTTGCTCTGTGCTCAACCTCTGGTGACCCAGTTTCCTCTGCCTGCTGCGCTCCCCAGCTGAGGAGTCGGGGGTTCTTGACTTTGACCCAAGACCTTAGAGCAGGACCTGGCTGTCCTCACTGCTCTGGGACACCCGCTTACTGTCTGCTCAATCTCTGTAGCCTCCTCCCTGGGCATGCGTTCCAGGAAGTCATTGTAATGCTTCAGGCCAATGGCCTGCTGGGTTGTCAGGGAGGCCTGGCTGCGGATGTCTTCCAGACTTCGGAAGCCCTGGAAAAAAGCAGCCAGATGGGGAGCTGTGAGGATCCAGGACCAATGAAGAGGCATGAGTGAGCACACACATGAAGCTTCCATCGCCCCAGGCTCTAGGGAAGGCTAGAGGCAGGACCAACCTAGGGGCGGTTTGGTCTGTACTCAGCAGGACTTGGGAAAGGCAGGGGGCATGGGGAACATGCCATCATCCAGCCCTGCCACTATCCTAAAATACTCATTCATGATTCCATCAGTCTGAGGATGGGCCTTGTCATCTTCATCCTTACCAAGCTGCCCTGGTGATTGTGGGCAGAGCCTGGATTGGGAACCACTGCTCTAGACATGCAGTGTCAAGGCCTGGCCTCCTCAGGAAGGCCCTTGCTGGTCTGGGGAGACAGAGAAACATACTTCTTGTCCCTGTCTACTCCTTCTTAAGGATACCAAGCAACAAGGCTGTTCTGGGAGCTGAGGGGTCTATATGAGTCCTGGTCCCCTTGAAAAATGGTCTCCCTATACTGTGGGTGCATTTCCATCAGAACACAGGGTAGGGAACTCTGGGGCAGGAACTCTGAGACAGCAAAACTGAAGTAGGGGCTAAGCCAGGGTGTGACCTGTTGGTACCACATCTGGGCAGTCTTGGTCCCAGCTCCCCAGATGTTGGAGAAGAGCTCCAAGACAGGCACACTGTCACTGATATGGTCCAGCTTTCGCAGATGCCCGCTCTCCAGGATCTCTATGATTTTCTCAGCCATCCGCTTCCCAATCCCAGGGATACTGCAGGCCTCCTAGAGGAGGAGGAGGCAGAGGCAAGAAAGAAGAGTGAAGAGATGGAAGTGGTAGAGCCAGTGTAAAGGAAGCTGACTCCTCTAGCAGATGCTGGCGTAAAAGCCCCCGCTGGCTGCTTGGCAACTGTGTGGCTGTGTAAAGCTTGGGTGTAGTTGAAGATGAGAATTTTGGATAGAATGAGGGCTGGGTAATTTGTCTTTTGGTTCCCAGAAGGATGGAGACCAGCAATAAGAAGTAGAAAATAATGATGATATTAGTCACCACCACCACCACCATCACCACCATCATCATTCCAACAGCAAGAGCTCACATTTACTGAGGGCTTATTGTATGTCAGGTCCTGTGCTACAGGGACCATTTCACTTAATGGTAGCCCCTTTTTACTAATGAGAAAACTGATGCTTTGAGAGTTTAAGTAACTTGTCTGGAGTCACACAGTTAGTGAATGACAGGAACCAGAGTTTAAACCCTGGTCTGTTAGGCTTCAGAGTCTAAACTTCTTTTAAACAACTTTTTAGGCTGGGCACAGGGGCTCATGTCTGCAATCCCAGCACTTTGCAGGGCTGAGCCAAGGGTGGATTGCTTGAGCCCAGGAGTTCGAGACCAGCCTGTGTAACATGGCGAAACACCATCTCTACTAAATAAATAAATAAATAAACAAAATTACAAATAAAAAACTTCTAATTATGTTAAAAAATTCAAAAGTAGAGAGATCAGTATAACAAACCCCCAAGTACCCATCTCCCAGCTTCAACAACTATCAGGATTTTGCCAATCTGCTTTCATCAGTTTTCCTTTTTTTTCTTTTGTGCAAGTCCTAGACCCCATAAAATCTTCACCACTGTACCTGAACCGCACTGGTGACTGACAGCGCCTTCACCAACTGCTGGCTAGTAAAGACCCCTCTTCCCACCCTAGCCCCTGGGTACCTGGTACGAGGTGACAGGCTTATGGAAGCTCTTGAGGGCATTGATGGCCTTGGCATAGCCCAGGGCCCTCCACTTGTCTCCCTGAACACTGTAGGCTTTGGCCAGAACTTCCAGCTTCTCTGTGATATGGAGGTTGTGGTTGGTCGCCTTCTGGCTTGAGGGCTGTGCACAGACCCACTTATCCAGGACCACAGGGGCTGGGCTAGGCTCACAGTCTCCCTCAAGGGAGGCGGGGTAGTAGCCACTGATGAGGGCTTCCAGATCAGCTGCGCTAACCTGGGTTTCTTCCCCATCGCTGGCTTCATCATCAGAGATGGACTTGGGGTAGAGAAGAAAAGAAAACAATAAATTCTTGTCCTCCAGGAGAAGGGATCCTTAAAGGTGGGGGTCATCTTCTTTGTGCAGGGGGAAGGTCTTCTAGTCAGACCTAAGAATGAGGTGGGGCCTTCTGCATCAGACTTGGATCACCTCGGGTGTGGGGCCACATTCCCTTTGGCTCACCGCAGTGCCTAGCCCTAGGATCCCCGGTGGTATGTGTTAGATACGGCCTAGATGAATGCAGGAGTGATGAGTGTTGGGAAGAGCTATATGGCTTCACAATGGGGTTCTCCTCTCTCAGGGGACTGGGACTTTCTGAACAGTCAACAGGCCCTCCCCATTTCTGTGATCTGCTTCCTAGGGGAAGGGAGCTCTGAGGGATGGAAGGCTCCTGACCTGGGCTTGGGTGTTTGGTGCCTCTTTTGTCTTTTGGGGAGGAGACACAGGCTTGGTGGGAGAAGGAGGAGGAGGAAGCGCTGTCTGAAGCAGGGCCTCATGGGTGCCAGGAGGAAGAGAAGCATCCTGCTCTGCCTTGCTGGGCTGTGACTGGTCCAAGTACCTGTGGGGATGGTGATGGGAGGTTAAGACAACAAAGGTCTCACCCTGTTTCTGTCCCCAGTCCTAATGTATTCTGAAATACTTGGTTTCCCAGTGTGTCCAATTAAGAAAATGAGTTTTTTGAGGTTTTTGGAGCTTCTCTTGAGACAGGGTCTTGCTCTATCACCCAGGCTGGAGTACAGTGGTATGATCAAGGCTCACTGCAGCCTCAGCCTCCCTGGCTCAATCCTCCCACCTAACCCTCTTATAGCTGGGACTATAGGCATATACCACCATGCCTGGCTAATTTTTAAATTAATGATAGTTATTTTTAATAATTCAAGAAGAGAGCTCAAGATGCTACTAGAAAACATTGGAAAAAAAGACTGGGATCAGCCCACCTACTGGGGATGAAGATGCTGAATCCAGCTACATCCACCAGCCTCCTCTCCTGAAGGCACAAGCTCAGCCAGGCTGACTTCACCAGCTGAGCACCCGGGGGCAGCCGGGGTAGTCTGAGAAGGCGGAGGGCTCGCTCATAGTCCATGCCTTCATCCACCACAATGTGAGTGACACCTGGGCCCTGTACAGGGCATAACTGGCCACCATGCTGAACAATCTGCTTCTCAAAGAGTTCTGCCCGGGCTCGTCCAATGCCAGTGCGCACAACATGGGCCCGAAGGGAGCTCAGCCACTCTGGGGAAGGAACATCCAGATGACTACTGTCAAAACTTTTTAATTTTTATCTGCCACCCCCTGGCCACAACTTCTAACATGATCTGAATACAACTTCTAACATGATCTGAATGACGTGTTCACAGTCCCCTACCCTGAAAATAAGCATTTGTCTTTCATCCAGGCAGGTTTCCTTCTACATACAGCAAATTTTCTCACAGGCCAGCATTTGAATGTAAGGGACAAGGATTTTTATACGTCCTGTTCCTTGGTGCAACCTAGAAGTGTCTGGCACATTGTAAGTAACCTGTAAATATCTGCTGAATGAATGCCTCCTCCCTTCTTACTTTGTTTTTGTTTTTGTTTTGTTTTTTTCGTTTGTTTGGAGACAGTCTTTTTTTTCGTTCGTTTGGAGACAGTCTCACTCTGTTGCCCAGGCTGGAGTACAGTGGCGTCATCTTGGCTCACTGCAACCTCCATCTCCCGGGCTGAAGCAATTCTCATGCCTCAGACTCCCAAGTAGCTGGGATTACAGGCATGTGCCACCATGCCTGGCTAATTTTTTGTATTTTTGGTAGAGACGGGGTTTCACCACATTGCCCAGGCTGGTCTCGAACTCCTGAGCACAGGTGATCTGCCTGCCTTGGCCTCCCAAAGTGCTGGGATTACAGGCATGAGCCACCGCGCCCAGCCTCTCTCCATACTTTGAATCCTTTATCATTTATTCTTTCAACAATGCACATTTATTGCCCTTACACTCTGACAGACCCGACAACCCTGCCTCCAAAGCCTCTGCCATTTATTTATCAATTTGGCTGCAAAACAACTAACAACAAGCCTGGGTAATGGAGGGGGGTTTCTGTCCCAGTCCCCCAGGGCAAAAATTATACTGGTCATTCCCTGAGGGTCCAGGGAGTCTTTTCCAATTGATAGGGGTGTTCAGGTAGAAAAGAAGATAACACAGCAAATGGCCTGTCCAAGACCCAGGACCAAGCTTAGTACAAGGCAGATACAAACAGACCTGCAGGCCCTGGACAGGCAGAGTCAGCTCCAATATCTGATTCTGGACATGAACAACATAGGGCTGAAGCACATGAAGGCTGAGGGTTCAAGCACATGAGGGTTCTGAGAGTGGGTCATCTCACCTTCTGCCTCTTCTCCCTCTTCCCTCCTGGGAATCTTTGCAAGTACTTTTGATGATGCATCAGCATGAATTTTCTTCCGTTTGGGAAATGCCTTCAAGATACCCCTGGGATCCATTGAAGTACGGCTGGATCCCGGCCTGTTGGAGGGTTGGTCAGGGCTGCTGTCAGGTGGAAATACAGAATTAAGGATCTCCAACCCCTTTGCCTATGGAGGTAGGGGGTAGCAGCCCAGTTTGGGGAAGCGGGAGGTGGGGGGGGATCTCTTCAAACCCGGTTAAACTAGCTTTTTAGCCTAGCTTCACACTCCCCAGTCTTTCAAAGTTGGAGTATTAGGGGAAATGAGGGGAAGGCTGGAGCCATCGGGGGTACTTTTGAGGAGTACGAAACTATACCCATTCCTCAAAGGGGTTGCTCTAAAGATTCAGCACAGCCCTCCTGCTGCGGCCCACTTCGAAGGGCTTTACCAAAATGGGATGCTGGGCTAGGAAATGGAGCTTTAGGGGATGGAGCGGAGACTGGGGAGGACCCGCACATAAACTCCACATACTCTTTTTCTACCTCCAACACAGACTTGCAGAGGAAAACCTGAGGAGGGGGACTTTCGCGGGTGAGTGGGAACGCCCTGCACCTGCCCTGGTCTCAGCCTCTCGACACGGGGATGCTCAGCGCCGCAGCTGCGGGGAGATGGGGCACGGCCGCAGCAGGTGTGGGGAGCCCTCCGGGAATGGAGGAGTCTCGCAGCTGGGGGTGAAGACCCGGGCAGGTGTGGTGTACTCGCCCTGTACGCAGCTGGCGCAGGCCAGGGAATCCCAGCTCGGGGCTAGAAGAGAGTTGGAGTGCCCAATCCCGGCGCCAAGAGTCTCTCTCCAACCGCCAGAGTCAGTCCCCGGGTGCGGTCGACAACTGGCCAAGTTGGTCACCCGACGGTGGGCAGGAGTAGGCCACTTACCAGGAGAGCCAATGAGAACGGACGAAGGGGGGAAGGAGGGCAAATGCCCAGAATAGCTTCCGAGTCAGCCGGAAGTGACCGTCAGTGGAACGGTTGCCATGGCAGCGGCCGGGCGCGCTGCTTAGCAGAGGAAAGATGGCGGTGACGGGCTGGTTGGAGAGTCTGCGGACGGCCCAGAAGACTGCACTGCTGCAGGACGGTAACTCGAGGGTCCCCGCGAGCTCCTTCGTTTTTTTCCCCCAGGTTCCGGCCCTCCGGGAAGGGCCGCAGGGCCTGGGTCGGCAGAGCTGGAAGGGTCTCGGTGGTCAGCCGGGCCAGGTCCTACATTTGCGGATGAGGAGACTGAGGCTCACAGAGATAACATGACCGGAACACATGTCTCCGGACACCCCTTAAATTCCTCTACACCATCTCGCCCCGCTCTGAGTTCTGTTGCTAATATAGTAATTTCTTTTACATTCGTTATCTCATTTGCTCCTCACCACTGTCCTGAGAGGCTAATTTTCCACCCCGTTTTACAGAAGAGGAAACTGAAATCCAAGAATGTTTTAGACTTTAGAGAGGAGAGAGGCCTGGGGTCTAGTTCCGACTGTGCCATTAATTCACCACGGGCTCTCCAGTCGGCACCTTTACTTGTTTGGGCCTCACTTTCCTCATCTGTAAAATTAAGTGGATGGACTACCGTTGTTATCTCTGAGGCCCTTTCCAGCTGTAATATTTTTGTTAAGTGAACCTCTAAATGTTTTCTGTGTCTTAAGGGGAGCTAGAGCAAGGACCAAGGGCTGTGCCTGGAAGAAGTGGGCACAGGGACATGGATACCTAACTTTTCCTCACCCTAGGATTGGCTGATGTCAGCCCCCTGTGCACTTGGGTCCTTTCTGGACCCACTGGGTAACCAGGATGAATTGTGTCTGAAGTTCCTGAGACTTTCAAGATAATAGCTGGTGATTCACATTCACAGGCAGAGGCCAATCAGGGAAGCCTGGAGTTTGTGGAAATTAAAATCATTTACTCGTTCGTGCAACATTTAGGGAGGCTTTTACTATGTGCCAAGCTCTAAACTAGAACAGAAAGAAAAAGATATGTTGTCACAGGACTCAGACTGGTTGGGAAAAACATGTATTTAAGTAATAAGATGTGTTAAATAGAGGTTGTAGTCTTGTATAAAATGGTAGGAAAGAGTGAAGGTGTAAGCGACATCTCTTTGGAAGAAGACCCAACAGAAGTGATGATGTTTCTGGGTCCTGAAGAATTAATAAGGCCAGGCACAGTGGCTCACGCCGGTAATTCCAGCACTCTGGGAGGCTGAGGCGGGTGGATCGTTTGAGCTCAGGAGTTCGAGACCAGCTTGGGCAACATGGCCAAACCTCATCTCTTCAAAAAATACAAAAATTATGGCCGGGTGTGGTGGTTCACGCCTGTAATCCCAGCACTTTGGGAGGCTGAGGTGGGCGGATCCCTTGAGGCCAGGAGTTCGAGACCTGCCTAGCCAAGATGATGAAACCCCATGTCTACTAAAAATGCAAAAAAATTAGCCAGGCATGGTGGTGTGCACCTGTAATTCCAGCTACTCTGGAGGCTGAGGCAGGAGAATCGCTTGAACCTGGGAGACGGAGGTTACAGTGAACTGAGATTGCACCACTGCATTCCAGCCTGGGTGACAAGTGAGTAAGACTCTGTCTCAGACAAAAAACAAACAAACAAACAAACAAAAGACAAAAATTAGCCGGGCATCACGGTACATGCCCCGTAGTCCCAGTTACCTTGTGGCTGAGGCCAGAGGACCACTTGAGCCAGGGAGGTAGACGCAGCAGTGAGCCGAGATCATGCCACTGCATTCCAGCTTGGGCGACACAGCGAGACCCTGTCTCCAAAAAAAAAAAAAAAAAAAAAGCAGGAAAAAAAAATTAAAATAGGTGTTTGCTGAGTGAAGAAGAGGGGATAGCTATTCAAGGAAGAACGACTCACATATAAGGGCCCATATGTAAAGGTGTGAAGGTACGTGCCTGATTACTAGGGGAGTAACAAAACGTTTAGTAATGTTAAAGCAGTCACCCAGTCAGAACAAACCACCTGTAACTATGTCAGGTACTATGCTACATGCCAGGATAGAAGGGAGAATAAAAAGGTCCCTTTTCTCAAGCAGCAATAAGGGGATGTTGTGGAAAATGAAGAGAGGTTACAGATAAATTGGGACATATTGTGATAGATTTCTTATGCCTTGCTGAATATTTAGGACATTTTCTCATAGGACAGTGGTTTCTGTTTTTATTGTGGTAATAAATACATCACAGAATTTAGTATTTTAATCATTTTTAAGTGTACAGTTCTGTGGCATTAAGTACATTCACATTGTTGTGCAGCTATCACCACCATCTTCAGAACTTTTTCATCTTTCTCAATGGAAATTTTTTTCTTTTTGGAGACAGGGTCTTGCTCTGTCACCCAGGCTGTGGGGTACAGTAGTACGATCATAGCTTACTGCAGCCTTGAACTCCTAGGCTCATGTAATCCTCCCACCTCAGCCTCTTGAATAGCTGGGACTACAGGCATGTGCCACTACACTCAGCTCAAGTGAAATTCTGTACCCATCAAATGCCAACTCCTCATTCCCTCCTCCTCCCATCCCCTGGCAACCACCATTTGACTTTCTGTCTCTATGAATTTGACTGCTCTAAGAACCTCATCTAAGTGGAATCATACGATATTTATCTTTTTGTAACTGGCATATTTCACTTAGCGTAATGCTTCAAGGTTCATCCATGTTGCCACAGTTGGATGCTTCCAGCTGTGCCGTTAATTCACCACAGGCTCTCTAGTCGGCCCCTTTACTTGTTTGGATCTCACTTTCCTCATCTGTAAAATGAAGTGGATGGGCTACGATTGTTATGTCTGAGGTCCTTTCTGGCTGTAATATCGTTTGTAAAGTAAACCTCTAAATGTTCCCCATGTTTTTAGGGGAGATACAGCAAGGACCAAGGGCTGTGCCTGGAAGAGGTAGGCACAGAGGTATGGATATTGTAGCATGTGTCAAAGTTTTGCTCCTTTTTAAGGCTGAGTGATATCCCATTGTATGTCTATACTGCATTCTGTTGATTCATTCATCTGTTAATGGACACCTGGGTTCCTTCCAACTTTTGGGTATTGTGAATAATGCTGCTCTGAACATGAGTATACGAAGATCCACTCCAGTCCCTGCTTTCACTCTTTTTGGTCACAGTAGTGTTTAAACAAATATTTTATCGGCCAGGATTTTGTTAAGTTCTTTTGTTAGTAGCATCACAAAATGATGTTAGATTCTACCCTATCCCCAAACTGAAAAACAATTCAGTATTGCATATGTGGTTTGCCTTGTCAAACCTGCAGATTTACCCCTGGGTGTGTAGGAGGGATATGGGAGTGGGGGAGGGTTACTCCCCTCCACCAAGAATCATGGCTATTGATATCTTGAGTTGGATAATGAGAATCCAATGTCCTTTTGATTTTTTAAAGAAATAATTCATTGTGGAAATACGAAAAATAAAATAAGTCACATATAATATTACTACCCAGATAATCATAATTTAGTGGTTTTTTGTTGTTTTTGTTTTGTTTTTTGAGATGAGTTTCACTCTTGTTGCCCAAATTGGAGTGTAATGGTGCAATCTCAGCTCACTGCAACCTTTGCCTCCTGGGTTCAAGGGATTCTCCTATCTCAGCCTCCTGAGTAGCTGGGATTATAGGTGCCCGCCACCAGGCTTGGCTAGTTTTTTTTGTATTTTTAGTAGAGACGGGGTTTCACCATGTTAACCAGGCTGGTCTTGAACTCCTGACCTCAGGTGATCGGCCTGCCTTGGCTTCCCAAAGGGCTGAGATTACAGGCGTGAGCCGCCACGCCCAGCCCATAATTTATATTTTTATACATAAACTTCTATGTTATTCCATGTGTACACTCACAGTTATTTTTTCTTTTAGAAAAATATACTAATATACTTAATAATTTATATATACATTTATTTCTAGAATAAATATACTATTGAAACAAAGTATAGATAAGTATCGCATAATCATTGAGTAAGGGAGGATACTCTGAGCGCAACTTCTAAGGCAGTAACCACAAAGAAAGAAAATATATAGTTGACTTTATAAAAACTAAACACCTGTGTTGGGCACCTGTAATCCCAGCTACTAGGGAAACTGAGGCAGGAAGATCGCTTGAGGCCAGAAGTTTGAGGCTGTAGTATCCTATAATCATGCCTGTGAATAGCCACTGCACTCCAGCCTAGGGAACATAGGCAGACACTCTTAAACAAAAACACTTGTTTGGGAAAACCCACTTTAAACAAAGTTAAGGGCCGGGTGTGGTGGCTCATTCCTGTATTCCCAACACTTTGAGAGGCCAAGGCAGGAGGATCGCTTGAGCTCAGGAGTTTGAGATCAGCCTGGGTAACATAGTAAGACCCCATCTCTACAAAAAAATTTTTAAATTAGCTGGGCATGGTGGTGTGCAACCATGGTCCCAGCTACTCAGGAGGCTGAGGTAGAGGATCACTTGAGCCCAGGAGGCAGAGGTTGCAGTGAGCCGAGATCACACCACTGCACTCCAGCCTCGGCAATAGAGCGAGACTCTCTAAAAAAAAGCCTCAGTTGGCTGGGCATGGTGGCTCACGCCTGTAATCCCAACACTTTGGGAGGCCGAGGTGGTGGATCACGAGTTCAGAAGATTGAAACCATCCTGGGCAAAATGGCGAAACCCTCTCTCTATTAAAAATACAAAAATTAACTGGTGTGGTGGCATGCACCTGTAGTCCCAGCTACTCGGGAGGCTGAGGCAGGAGAATTGCTTAAACCCAGGAGGCAGAGGTTGCAGTTAGCTGAGATTGCGCCACTGCATTCCAGCCTGGTGACAGAGCGAGACTCTGTAAAAAATAAAAAAAAATAAAAGCCCTCAGTTTTCCTCATCTATGAAATACAGGTAATGAAGACACATAGGATTATTGTGAGAATTAAATTTGTTAAGACATGTTAAATGCCTGGTGGATTTTGTAAGCACTGCATCCTGTCTGGACTCAAGGCTAGATGCCAAGGGGAGAAGATGGTCAGGCAAGACCCCTTCAGCTCCTCCCAGGCAGTACCTTGGATCAAGCTCCTGACAGGAGAGCCCTTTCTAATGCTTGTGAGCCATCCAAATGATTAAGGGTGGTATAACCTAGGGCTCTGCTAGAGGCCCTGCAAATTTAGGGGTGAGTTTACGCAGAATACCGATTAGGAATGGCTCAAGGGAACTGTATACCAGAGAAGTGAATTGGACAGGAAAAAGGCACCTTGGGGCTCTTATTCATTAAGCATACATAGGGTACTTGTCTACTGGATGTTAGTGCTCTGTTACTAGTTTTACTGAGGGGTCTGCCTGTATCTACTTCCCTACCTATAAAAAGAAAGGGGAAATTACATAGCTACTTTTAAGCAAATGCTCCATGGGTAGAGGAATTGGGCTAGGAGACTCCCTTAGTTTCTTTTTCTTCTTCTTCTTCTTCTTCTTTTTTTTTTTTTTTTTAAGACAGTCTCAATCTGTTGCCCAGGCTGGATGGAGTGCAGTGGTGCAATCTCAGCTCACTGAAACCTCCACCTCTCAGGTTCAAGCAATTCTCCTGCCTCAGCCTCCTGAGTGGCTGGGACTACAGGCACCCGCCACCACGCCCAGCTAACTTATTTGTATTTTTAGTAAAGATGGGGTTTCACCATGTTGGCCAGGCTGGTCTTGAACTCCTGACCTTGTGATCTGCCAGCCTCGGCCTCCCAAAGTGCTGGGATTACAGGTGTGAGCCACTGTACCCGGCCTCCCTTAGTTTCTTCTATTCTTTCAGTGGATAGTGCATCAATGTTTATTCATCCTTTCAATCAGTATTTAGTTGAGCTCCTAGTATATGCCAGGAGCCACGCTTGGTCTTTAGGAAACCATAGCATGGGGATGAAACCCCTCCTATCTAGTAGAAGAGAGGCAATAATCAGAGAGTCACATAAATAGATATAAAATCATAACCAAAGTAAGTGCCATGAAGAAAATGCATGAGGACTTAGTATGTAAGTCCTTAAAATGTATGATAGGAATGGCCTGGAGATGTGCAGAAGGCAGGGCACTGGCATGGCTAGAGGGAGTGCTCGGTCAGGAAACCTAATTCAATGTCCTGAACACATAGGCTTGGTTTTAGGAAGTGGGGAGAGAGAGGTAAATATGTTGTCATTCATGGGAAGACAAATGCTTTTTAAAAGTATCATGGTATGTAGTAAACGCTCCACTATGGATATGAGTAAAACATTAGGGAGGCACACATGAGGACGTGATTAATCCTACCAAGGTGGCTGGAGGTGATAGTGGAGGAAGACTTCCCAGTGGAAGTGACATTTGAGCTGGATTTTGAAGGGCAAAGAAGAGTTCCATAGATAGGAAAAAGTATGGAGCTGTTGCTGGTAGAGGAAACAGCAGAGCAAAGACATGTTCAAGGAAAGCTTCAGAAAGGGAGAGAGTCTCAGGACATGTTTTAAAGTAATGGTGGGTGATGGTTGGCCAGGAGTTTGGGGAGGCCCTGGCTGGGTTCCTCAGTACTCCCAAGGCTGGTGCTGTTTCCCAGATAGGCCCCTTGATCTGCAAGGGACAGGGCAAGGGGAGGCTTTGAGGTAAGGCGCTCTCTGTTTTGTGCACAGGGAGAAGGAAGGTGCACTATTTATTCCCAGATGGCAAGGAAATGGCTGAAGAATATGACGAGAAGACGAGTGAACTACTTGGTGAGTGACAGAGGCTCCCAGTGGGCCTTTAGGAATACTTGGTGCTGACCTAAGCACAGTGACCACTCCTAGCCTTAGGCTTGAGGCAGGAGCCCAGATCAAATGTAGAAGCTGGGAGAGACCGAAGTCCTCGAGACAACAACGTTCCTGCGAATAATCTGGGCACCGAAAGTGGAGTGCAAGTCCTTTTGACCAGTAAAATTCATCCCTACCCCTCGCCCCAGACAAATGAGAGAGTAATTCTAAGATGTAGAGAAACAGTTGGGAAAAAACTTTACAGAGGAGGTGGTATTGGAAGTCAGCCTTGTAGGTTTAGGAGGGATAAGGGCAGACTTTCACCACAATTTGTTTTTCCTTGTTTTTTTTTTTGTTTTTATTTGTTTGTTTGTTTGTTTGTTTTCTGAAGCCACACCAGGAGCAAGCGAGTATCAGAGGCAGAGCTTCTGAGCTTGCCTCAAAGGCAACACTGTAAAATATAGTCGTCATCTTGAAGAACATCTCAGTCCAAGAGGGTCAAAACAGTGATTTTGCAGCGTGGTCACTTTCTTTTTTTTTTTTTAATATCCAAAATGTGTTTATTGAGGTGGTTTCCCACTCATCTTGATTCAGAGTGCTTTTAGTGCTGCTTCCTCCTAAAGGAACATCCTTCTATAAGCCTTGCTTTTCCTCCTGTAGGCTGGCAGAGGACAGTGGAGCAGCACACAAAACTACCGTTTGTGCATGGCTAAAGACCGTGTTGACTTTATAGCATCCTGGGCATTTCACATCCATGAAGTAGGAATTGGGGCTTTGCATCAGGCATTTCTTCTTGTGTTTCCTCTTCTCCTCTTCTGGGGAGGGATGAAGGAGATCCTTTGCAAGAGGCATGTTCTCGTGTGGGTAGGTCGTCACCGCCAGAAAAGCAGTGTGGTCACTTTCATTCCTGCAGCGCCTTTCCTCTAAGAACAGGCTCATGGGTAGCGGCTCCAGCTCAGATTTCTGGGAATTATTCGATTTGTCCACTGTGTTCCCAGGTGTGCACATCAGCATTAACCAGCTTCCCAGAGCTAGGTGGCTGGCTCTTTGACCCAGGGCCCAAGGCTGTCAGCAGTGGGAGTTGGTCTCTTTATTAAGTTCCATCTGAAATGCTAAGACCAATGATGGAATCATGGGCTGGTTTATTTTCCTGTCATTATTCTTGGCTTTAATTTCTTCCTGGGCCTGATCGACAGGTAGTATTGGTGAGGGAATTTCTTTTTCCCTTTTTCTGACAGCTCATAAATGTCTAGAACCGACAACGTGGATTACACTGGCTTGCATTCCCTCAGTCTCCAGTCTTAAAATGTTTGTCCTGCGCATGTTCAGTCACACAGTGAAGTGTTGATCCCTCCTTATTATGAGCTGCTTGGGCTCCAGTCCCAATTGGTTTAGTCTGGTGCTATTAAAAATCTTGATGTGTTTAGCATATGACACCGATTCGGTGGAAACCAATACAGTAGTAATATCCTCACAATGCATTGTAATTTATAGTGCTCCCAGGGGATGACAGCCTTGGAATGCCTAACAGGGGAGAACTTATGAAAGCAGAGGTCACGTGGACTAGCCACCACCATAACCAGGCCAGAGACTAGCCGCAGCTCCTCACTCCCAGCCCCCCATGCCACTTCTCTACTCCTCCACACAGAGCAAATAAAACAGCTATAGCTGCTGCGGCTGTAAAAACAAACAAATAAAACCCGGTGTCTTTGTTGTGCTTGGACATGAAACTGAAATTAAAAACAAGTCCAGGTTTCTTCATTTGTAGCACCATGTTCCCCGATATCCCACATTAACCTGTCACTTCTCCTGGTGGCAGGTGGGGAATAGACCGTGGCTTCCAAACTCCTCTTTCTTAAAAGCGGAAATGGAGGAGAAGACTGTTCACAGGAGAACACTGTTTGGCTAAAGTTGACCTAATAATTATATTAATATCATGACTCTTACTGGGCACCATGCTAAGTGCTCTCTGTGAATTACCTCATTTACTCATCCTCATTAAAGCCCTATGAGGTAGATACTCTTGTCTCCATTTTACATTTGGAAAAAATGGAAGCTCAAAGAGGTTAAGCACCTTGTTGAGAATTATGTAGCTAGTTTCTAAGCCAGGATTTAAGCCTAGTTCTGTCCAATTAAGAGTCCAGGCTTTAGTCCTCAACAACATAGTGCTGGGAGTTGAGAATATTTAAATCCAACTTTCTTTTCTTCTTACTATGTTTTTCTTTGCCCAGAAAGGCCTGAGTGTGGACTGATGAGCAGACAGGAGGACCTCACTGGAGCCACTGGGCCCAGCTCTAGAACAGCAGATCTTTTTCTTACTCTTCTTCCTGCCCACCACCCCAGCTGCCCTGGCAAAATACTATTCATTTTTAAGTATAAATAATCCCAGGGCTTGAGCTGGCTTTTGCTTGTGCATTCTATGAAGCAAAATAGGGACATGGTTTTTGTGGCAATAAATAGGAATAGTTTCCATTTTTCTAGCTACGTATATAAATTTGAAAATTAGCCAAACCGGTTTTCTGTTAGAAAAACTCAAAGTAATTTACAGACGAAGAATTGCCAATAGGTGTGCGTCAGTCTGGGACAGAGTTCCTCCAGTTGGTGTTAATAAGCATGTTAGTGTCTTATTTTTTTTCCTACCCTCTCAGTGCTATTCATTCCCACCCCCCACAATGATTGCTGCATGTATTCATAGAGGAAAAAACTGAAGGCCCCATAACAATGATCGGAACATCAAACCAGCCTGAGAAGAACACAGCATGTCCAAGGGGGCTGAGGCTGAAGGGCAGGCCATCCCCCAGCGATTACATTCGGATTACTGACTTAATCTGCTTTGGTATTTGACCGCCAGCCTGACCACCCGAGGCTGCATTTGGAGGATATTGAGCACTTTCATCCCCAAGCACTTCACTGGCTTTATAAATGACCCACTCGATCCCTTCGGCCTCCTCTGGGATGGGACATGGCAGCTGTTTAATAGCCACATAGCAATGTTGCAGTGTTTTAGGGCAGAAAAGAAGAATCCTGCATCCAGTTTAAGCTGCAGGGAGTATTTAGGGAAGGGGAATGTAATTATCCACATTGGAAGTGGGCCAGGGCTTGGAGCTTTGGGGAAAGAGGCCTTTAGGACGTCTACTTTCCAGCCCACCTGAAAGATGGGGCCTCCTTTCAGCAGTCTGGGACATCAGCCTGCTTCCTGCTGACTTAGGAAAAAGCTCCCAGGCACCACCACCTTTACATATTCCCCATCAGACCCTTCACCAGGGTGGAAAGTCTCCTTTCCAGGGTCTGGCTGGGGCTCAGCTGGGAAGATATGACAGCGGCCCGGGAAGCTGCCTCACACACACCAGTTTGGGTTTAACATAATCAAATCAGAGTGACAGCAGGTGGAAACAGTCTTCTGTTGCCACAGGAGCCGTCCTTGAGTTCAGGAACAAAGACAGGGACAAGAAAGACAAGACAAAGTGTGCATTTTTACATGTGCGTTTGCACCTGTGCACTTGTGCATGGGAAAAATAAGGAGGACTTCACTAAAATCTTTTATTGGGTCTTATCTCTAGAGGGAATGGAAAAGGAGACTTTCTTCTGCATTCTAACAAAGAATTTAATTCTCAAGATGTTTAAACAAAAAATAAAGGTGAAGCAGCCGGAGGTGTCAAGTTCCCTGAGTGGTTTTTAATGTCAGAAGTAAGGAAACCAGCAGCTGACTTTCTTCCTTCTTTGAGTACTTCTTGGGAAGTTTTCTGTGTAAAACTCAAAATTTCTTGGAGTAAAAGAGTGCACAGAAAATCCTGGGGTGGTTATCGTCCCTCCAGGCCACCCTGGTGCTGTATTGTGCATTAGGACACCCAATTTAGCAAGGCCCATGACTTAACGGGGCACCTCACTTATCCAGCCCCAGGTAGTGAGGTAGTCCTCATATTTTACCTTTTCAGATAATCAAAGCTTACCCTTTAAAGGCCAAATATAAAAAAATGAATTGAGCTACTTAAAAAAAAAAAAAAAAAAACAGAAACCTTTCAAAATATTACATATGCTTATTGAACACTTTCAGAATAAAGTTTTATTAATAATTCAAATTCTGAATTTGGAGTTACGAGACCCGGAGTTTAGCTGTGGCATTTGTAAGATTGTCTCCTTGAGCCTCAGTAATTCTTCATACTCTGTTTCCTGGAGAGTAGTGGCAGGGGTTGAAAGAGAGCAGTCAGGGAAGAAATGCTATTTTTCATTTTAAAAGTACAGACATTGGAGTAGATGCTTTCTAAAGGAACTTCCACCTTTAAAATCTGTGATGGTTGTGTACTATTATAAAGTGGCACCACTGGAGTCTAAGGGTGCTTGTTTGCCCTTACACTAAATGGTCCCAAGTGTTTATGTGGTTCTGACACTGCCGTCCAATGTGAGCTGTCCCCATACCATTGTCAATATGCCTGAGAAAAAAAGTAATTTCCTGCCTTATTCTACACACAGCATTTTATACCTAGTCTGAGCAAGAATCTGAGTGATCTTTCCTGTCGTATAGAGTAGGGTACATGGATCTTTTCACAATAAGCTGCTGCTCGGAGGCATTTGTCACTTCTGAGTTCGAGACTGTGACAGAGGCCCCCAGAAGGCTGCTTCCAGTGAAGAGAGGTATTAACACTGAATAGATTTGGATATACTCCTGGTCACAGTCCATTCACTTAAGAGAGAAGTATTTGTGGGGGGAAAAAAGTTGCCTATAAAGCATATTTCCAAGTTTTACTCTTCCTTATTAATTTTCATTATAAACTTGGAAATGTGTTTCTAGGGAGAATTTTTGGCCCTAAGAGGTAATAAAATCACACTGCAGAATGCAGCAGACCTTATAAAAGCACATATCCAAGGGAAAATTCTAATTTTACAGCACACTTTTGTGTTCAGGTTGTGTGCCTTGCTTATAGCGATAAGGGCATTTGGATTTGACACAGCTGCTCAAAAGGTCTAAAGTAAACAGCTGGCCTGCCTAGTGCTGAGAACCTGACTGTAGCTATCAACTCCTACCTGGAAGAAGACACAAACAGAAACAACTGTAACCGAGTACTATGCACTTTTTGAGTTGTTTAGCTCCTTAAACAGCTACAGAGGCTGCTGGTCTTTAGCACCAACTGGGCTCCTCAGGCTGGAGGATACCATAGCAGGCAGCCCCCAGATTCCAAATGCAGCAGGAAGGGAAAGGAACTGGGGGATGGGAGGTCACGGCTCAGAAAAGATCCCCCTGCAGTGATGGACTGCATGGTTCCTGAAAATGAAAATCTCAGCAGGGGTTTTCAGGTACTGTCCATTCAACTAGTTTCTTGATTTATAATTTTCATAATATATGTGCCTTAAAATCTTATGCAAGCATCTGGGTTGTTAAGGTAAAATAGAGATGGTTATTTGCATTCTAAAAGGACTCCCTTTTACAAAAAATTCACATTAGATCTTTTATAAACAGTGCATTTAAAATATGGCATGTGCCTACGATTTTGTTTAAATGCAGCTTTGGGGCGTTTTTTTGTTTTTGTTTTTGTTTTTTAAAGCAAGGTGTACCTGAAATGAGTGAATTTCTATATTTGGACTTTCTGAATCATGATACAGACCTGCCCAACAGCTTTCACCCTCTTCTTTTTTCCTCTGCATGTTTTTGAGGGAAAAAATGTGCCTCAACTCCTTTTTGGGATCCAGATTTTCTCCATTACCAGAAACAACCCTTTTCCTAATTTTCACTTCTTCCCTTTGCTTGAAGCCATACCTGAGGGTTTCTTGATTCCACTTGGCTCCTCTCAGAGCTTCATTCCAGTTCCTTTTGCCTGAGCGCCCATGAGATGCGCTTTGCAGGTTGTCTAATATTGAAATGCTCTACTGAAATTTCAGAAGTTGTGAGGTCCCTCCTTAAATTAAAGCCGAGAGTAAAGGCCCAACACTCCCACTTTCATCTTGTGCTGGTTACCTAGTGTGGTGCCGGTGATTCGACAGAAAAGAGCAGAGACCCTCTCTTCACTCTCATCCTGATGCTTGCTTCTCTCCCCAGTGAGAAAGTGGCGTGTGAAAAGTGCCCTGGGAGCCATGGGCCAGTGGCAGCTTGAAGTAGGAGAGCCAGCGCCCCTAGGAGCAGGAAACCTGGGGCCTGAACTCATCAAGGAAAGCAATGCCAATGTACGTCCATCTGTCCAGGTGTCTTGCACGGGCTGAGGTGGGGGTGGGCTGTGGGCTGCTGGCTCTTGAGGACAGGGACCATGTCTTGTTCACCTCCTTGCCTCCAGTGTGCCACCTGGACACAACAATCTATAAATGTTTGTTTGAATGAATACAGACATTTTGGCTTGATCATCCCAGGGCGGGGGCTCAGGGCCTGGAGTGTTGTAGCAATAGTAGTGTCAGAGGGCAGCAGTGGAGAAGAGCTGAGGGTCTTATGCCCCGGGGTAGAGCTCTGATGAGGGTGGAGCCTTCCCTTCCCCAGGAACAGTCCTCGAGTTGGATTTGCCTTCTGTAGCCTATCTTCATGCGCAAGGACACCAAGAAGAGTTTCCAGTGGCGGATTCGAAACCTCCCCTATCCTAAGGATGTCTACAGTGTCTGTGTGGACCAGAAGGAGCGCTGCATCATTGTCAAAACAACCAACAAGAAGTGAGTAGCGTGGAGGGCACCCTGTGTGCTTGTGTATGAGCAGGCTGTAGGTGGGGTTTGATCTGAGGTTAGGATCATTATTCAGGCTGGTCCTGCAGAGAGGAAGCCCTTCTGCTTCCAGGTATTGGAAGGGCTTCCTCTCTGCAGGACCAGCCTGAATAATGTAATCAGCTCCATCAGGGAAGAGAAACTTGAATGAGTGTCTAGTATAGTACCTGGCATAGACAAGAGCTCAGTAAATATTTGTTGAATGAATGAGATGATGAGGGAAATCACACGACCATTAGCTTGTGGTCTCAGGTGGTTCTGCTTAAAGGTTATTATGATCTTGGTCTCCTGGCTGGATCCAGTCCTTGTTAAGGGTGGCCTGGTGACATCAGTGTCAGAGCTGGCAGGGAGCCATAGCTTGGAAGGCACACCTGTCTGAAGTGGCAGTGACAGTCCTTTAAAGCAGTACTTGACAGCAGTTTAAAGCAGACTGGGCAGCAGTAAAACTAATCCCTCCCCAGACTGAGTGACAGTGGGGCAGATGCTTGGGCTGCTTGGAAATCTCTTGCATAATGCTTCAAAAGGGGTACTCAACTTCCATTTGTGGTCCCTTAGAGGGGAGGAAAACTGCAGGGGTTGAAAGGACAGAAGGTGGCCACAGTGCATTTCCATTTTGGAAATGCATTGATCTCATTTAGGTTTCTGAAGCCCTGACTGATCACAGGAGAAGAGAAATGCCCTGTGTGAGGCCCGAAGGGAATGGCCCTGAAATGAATCAATCTTGACCTGGGCTAGAGAGAATACAGTCTTGGGCCAACTCCCACAAAATAGATTTGTGCATTGAGATGGGAGGTTTTACAAGTTACCCGTCTGCAAGCTGTGAAGCCATTCAACATGCCTCGTGGGGATGCCCCCACCCATCTCCTGCTTTACATGCAGTAATGGGGACCCAGCTCCTTGTGCATCTCCTCATGCATCTCCTCAGGTGATGTGGTGCCAGTCTCCCCTTCCATCTCCCTCAGGCCCACGAGGCCCACAGGGAAGCAGGGTAGCTCCCAGACTCCCCCATTGCAGCCCTGGGTGCTGCTATCCTCTTGTGACCCCCATATCCCATTGCTTTGGCAGGGTTAAGAGGACAGGGGAAAGGGTGGAGATGGATGAATTAATTTCAGGATTATTGCTGTACATGCAGCCAGCAGCCCCTGCAGTGGGCCTTGTCTATAAATATAAAGTCATAATAATAAGGGTTTGTGTTTATAAAGCACTTTGAAGCCCTCAGATAAGAGGCAGTTTATTCCCGTTATTGTTCTCATCATTAACAGGAGTCACTGCCTAAAGTGGAATTTAGCAATTTCAGACAACAGAGAAATTGCCTGTAGGAAAACAAACTCCATGCTTCAGCAAGCATTCCCTGGCGGAAGAGGCCTTGGGTCCAAACTGGGAACAAAAGTGCTTCTGATAGCACTTGAATCTGCAGCCCAGCACTTTGTGAAGCTGGCTGCTGCCTCTTTTTTGTCCCCCAGAGGTCACTGTCGAATACAGATATCAGACAGAAATGTGATTACCAGGGAGTGAGGAAAGAGAAGCTAGCTAGCTCACCAAAAAATTCATCTGTGGGCAGATCCTCTGGGTCCCATCTCCTGCGCACATCCAGCCGTAGGTGGCGCTGTTGGCCAGGAGCTCCGTGACTAGAGGCCCACGCTAGCTCTCAAGGCAAGTGGGGGTTGTTGGATATTTTTGAAATGATGGGTGAGTCCAGGTGGGATGGGAGTGATGCCCCTGGAGGGGCAGGGCTGAGGGTTGGATTCCCATAGAGGAGAGAGGAGTGTTTCAGGGCCCACTTTGGAACCCACACTGGGCCTCTGATCCAGTGTCCCAGCCTGGCTCATCCCTGTCCTTCTTAGGTCTCTCCTTTGGGAGGTTACCTAGAGGCTGCTGAACCCTTAGCCAGATCATTCCTGAACTTAGTGGCATTTTTACCTTCTACCTGGAGGAATGTGTTTTATACCTTGACTCCCATTAATTATATAGAACTCAATGGCTATTCCTTTTAAAAAATTAATTTGGAAGGGAGAGATTTATTTCTCATCAAGGGTTATAGCCTGCATAGACATTCTTTTTTGTTTTGTTTTGTTTTAAGAGATGGAGTCTTGCCCTATTGCCCAGGCTAGAGTGCACTTCTTGCACAATCATAGCTCACTGCAGCTTTGAACTCCTGGGCTCAAGGGATCCTCCCGCCTCATCTTCCTGAGAAGCTGGGACTATGGTTGCATACCACCCCACCTGGCTAAGTTTAAAAATTTTTTTTTATAGAGTTGAGGGCCTCTCCATTTTGCCCAAGCTGCTCTCAAAATCCTGGGCTCAAGTGATCCTCCTACCTTGGCCTCTTGAAGTGCTAAGATTATAGGCATGAGCCACCACACCCAGACCAGTGTGGCCTCTGGCCAGAAGCCAAAAACTCAATGGCTATTCCCGTCCACAGTGTTTAGCTTTTTAAGGATACAGTACATTTAAAATCTGTTTTCTGATCATCATGCTATCGGGAGGTGGGCAGGATCCATACTTTTATTCTTGTGTTATAGATGATTATATAAATGTATATATAAAGTCAGCATGATGAACCAGCCTGCTGAGAGGAAAGTTAGTGACCATCTCTCTTGATGCCCAGGCATCTGCACTTTCCACCACATCATGGCATTTCTCTCTGACTTGACCTCTTCCTTCACCGGGAGGTTCCATACCTACCCCAGTTCTAATATTCTGGAATGTGGTTACTGACCAAAGCCAGAGTTTCTTTACCCATACTTGCCTTGTCTCTGAAGAGCTGGGTTGGTGACTTTACTTGAAGGAATTGATTGTAGTGTATCATGTCCTTGGCCTCACATATTAGTGAGGGCTGAATCAGGGAAGGAAAAAAGTGCTCTTCTAGGATCCCAGTGTTGAACCATCTATTCCTGATAATAACGTTTGTGCAGAAAGAGGGCTCCTAGCCTCAGCCTGGAAGTTGGCCGCTGTAAGTGGAATGAGCCAGGGTGCAGGAGTAAGAAGTTGTTGGGTTAAATCTGGCCTCTGTCACATATTAGCTGTAGAAGGTAGGCAAGGTTTCCTCATCTATCAGAGAACACTCAGAGCTACTTCACAGATTTTGGGGAATTGGATGAAATCGTGTATGTACAGGCCAGCACAATGGCTGGCCTGAAGCAGGTCCTCAACAGTTCTTTGGAAACTGGAATCTGAGGAGAGCTTGGCTGATTTGACATCGGTGATCCTGACACTGTGGGAGGTGTTAATAGGCTTCACTAGAAAAAAGGATTCTGTGGTCAAATAAGTTTAAGAAACTCTGGATTAAACAGGCTGCTCTTTGGTGGGGCTGAGAGCCTTTAGTATGTGTGTGTGATTGTGACTCTAGCAGGGGGTGACTGTGGGTGGGGGTGCCGAGTTTGCCTAGCGCCTTGATGTTTAAGAAGATTTGCCTGCTGCTTTTCTAAGGGCGGACTGGTTGGAGGCTTCTCTGGACCCTCTGGCAGTGTGCAGGTGTGCATGGCACCCCCTCCGAGGTATGTGAGGCATGACCTGAGTGATTGTCCACAGCAGCACTGCTCCTGCCTTCAGCCTCCAGAGTCTCTCTCCCTCTGATGGCCTGGCCTCTGGTGCCCTTTTGGATTGGAGAAGGGCTGGAATTGGGAGGATACTATAGAGGAGGCAGTAGGTCATTCTGAAACAGCCAAAATGGAGTTGTCTGTGGAACAGGAGAAGATAGGGTACAGAGTTGGCCTGTTCTGGGCCCTTTGACACAGCAGCACTGCTCCTGCCTTCAGCCTCCAGAGTCTCTCTCCCTCTGATGGCCTGACTGGTGCCCTTTTGGTTGGAGAAGGGCTGGAATTGGGGAGGGGATACTATAGAGAGGGAGGCAGTAGGTCATTCCTGAAACAGCCAAAATGGAGTTGTCTGTGGAACAGGGAGAAGATAGGGTACAGAGAGGGAGAAGATAGGGTACAGAGTTGGCCTGTTCTGGGCCCTTTGACAATGACTTCAAGTTCATCTAGTGCAGCTCTTTTATTTGAAGAAGGAATGTGGAAACTGAGGCCCAGAAATTAAGTGACCTGTCCAGGGTCACAGGGCAGGGCCAGGAGTTCTGCGACAAGCCTTTACTTCCACATATGTCTTTTGGAGACTTTTGACATTCAGAAAGCAAGGCCATTGATGTGTTGGAGAGAGTACCCAGGGGGCCCGCAGAGTGTTTAGATTCCAGGAGAGACAACCTGTTTCATGGTTGAACATCCCCACCTCCCACCCCAATATCTGCCCCATCCTTGGACAAATGCAAATAATCTAGACCATGGTGGGCTATTACTTTGTGGTGAGAATGTGGAGACATGGAGGGGTCAGGAGATTTGGGGGATTCTCACTTTAATACGGGCTTCTCTGTTTACCAGCTTTGTGAGTTGGGCAAGATATCTAACTTTTCTGGGCCTCAGTTTCCTTTTGTTTAAAAGTGGATAATAGAAGTAACCAACCTGAGAGAGTTGTTTTGACAACTAAATGTGTTTAGAACCTGGCACAGAGTAAGCATTAATTTTTTAAAATGTCATCTTTCATTGTATGGCTGAGATAGAACAGTGAAGGGAGGTAGGAATGGGGGAGAGCGGGGCATCTGCTGGAAGCCAAGGAACTATCCTGCTGTAAGGATTCAACTTTTAGCAGAAACAAAACAAGGTCTGATCAGCAAGGATATAGCCTTGTTTCTTTTTTTGAGATGGAGTCTTGCTCTGTCACCCAGGCTGGAGTGCAGTGGCACAATCTCTGCTCACTGCAACCTCTGCCCCCTGGGTTCAAGTGATTCTCCTGCCTCAGCCTCCCGAGTAGCTGGGACTACAGGCACCTGCCACCACACCTGGCTAAGTTTTGTATTTTAGTAGAGACAGGGTTTCACCATGTTGGCCAGGCTGGTCTTGAACTCCCAGCCTCAAGTGATCTGCCCACCTTGGCCTCCCAAAGAGCTGGGATTACAGGAGTGAGCCACTGCATCTGGAGGCCTTGTTTCTTCTTCATCTTTTTCTTTTAATTTTTTGTAGAGACAGGGTCTCTCTATGTTGCCCAGGCTGGTCTTGAACTCCTGGCCTCAAGTGATCCTTCCACCTCAGCCTCCGAAAATGCTGGGATTACAGGCGTGAGCCACCATGCCCGCCCTCTTCTTCATCCTTCAATCCCCAGCTCACAGCTCAAGGCCTGGGACACAGTTGATGCCCAATAAATGTCTGCTGCCTACTACAGCTGTCTGAGGCTGAACGTTATGACTCTTCCAGAAGCACAGTGGGTTTCTCTGTTGTCCAGGTGCTGGTGAGAAAGTCAAGTACAGTACCCATCATGGAAAAAAACCCCATGTCTGGGGAATGGGGGTGAGTAGGGGGTGGGCTGCCCCAGGAGGAGAAAAGGCAGATGTTCCCTACTCCCTTGAGCCTGACTATCAGGAGCTTCTAAGAAGTTGTTTAACCTCAACCAATAAACTAAATCCATTACAACAGACTCAAAACCAAGCTGAGCCTCCACGTGCTCTGCCTTCATTCCTCTTGCCTGGAGGTAGGAGTAGTTCAAGGAAAGCAGGTGTAAGCTATGCACCTTAAGTTCCGTCTGATCCTGTCCTTGCTGTTGTGGCCAAGCCCTGGGATTCGTTTTCTGGTCCCACTGCCCCAGCCTGGGGGAATGGTTCGGCTGGGCTGCTTCCCTCCTGGTTCTGCTTTTTGTGTATCTTTGCAGGGAAGATGTTAACACTTCCTAACAAGTCTTTGTGTTCATCTAATCTCTGCTGTTTAACCTTTGACTCTCCCCTATTATCAGTGTCTGCCACCTTTGCTGGCCAGACCAAAGGCCCCAGGAAGAGCCCTCAGCCTGAGCTGGCTAGGAAGAGGATGAGGCAGGCATTCCATCCCCGGTTTGCAGGCAGATGGATCGCCTTTCCCTGGGGCAGAGCTTTGGAAAATAAAGCAACTTGCAGTGCCATTAGGATCCCCCAGCCCCCACTCCTTTTGAACTGTCAGCCTTTAAGTAAACATTCTTTTCCTGCCATGGGTCCCAGTACCTTGGTGGGGAGTGGGGAACCTGGGAGGAGAGGGGCCCCAGAGTCTCTGTTCAACGGAGGGATTTGGGCAGGGAGGACGGGGGCAGAAGTGCTGCATTGATGTCAACTCTCCGAGTCCCCAGGGCATAGGGGCTTTTGAAGTGGACTCAGGGTAGCTGTCACCACAAGGACCAGGCCCCTCTGAAGTACTAAAAGCCCCATCCTCCCCAGGCCTCTCACTTGAGTCTGTTTGTACCTGCCTGAGGTGTTTCCCTTCACAGCCCATACAACCTCTGCAGCAGAAAGTGATGCCTTGCCCAAGTGACAGGTCTGGCAGCCCCTGGCCAGATCCTAAGCCACATTTCCACTAAGGAAAATGCCAAATTGGTATATTGTTAGAGATGAAAAGGCCATTCATTATGCTTTGGTGTAGTAAGCATCAGACCAAAGACAAGGAATCTTACTCTAATCTTGACTTCCATCCCAACTGACAACTGGCTGTGAAACAAGGCACATTTCATCTCTCCGAGCCGAGTTCTCTTTTTGGTAAGGGGGGTCAAATTTCCTGCGAAGTCTAGTTATACACATTACGAACTGGGTGTTGCTATCTGTTCTTTTTTTTTTTTTTTTTTTTTTAATTAAAAGGCATCAATCTCTGAACCAGCACCTGGAGATGATAAGGACCATGTGTGATGTGTAAAAATGGAGGAGTGGGGACTTGGGGCCAGCCAAGTAGTCCAGAGGTCCAGCTTCCATGATGAGTAACATGGTTTGTCCTCTCAAGGAGATTTCTCCTAGTAGATATACTTTTCCCTCTGGCCTACAAGTAGAGCCAGGCTAACAAGGCCTTGAAAGGCCCCAAAAGAGGAACAGGTAGTTGAGGCCTTCAGAGGACTTCTTAGCAATAGGGCCCCAGCTTTGGGAGACAGGTCTGAATGTCCTTATTCTGTCCGTTGTTAGAACACGCCCCATTTTTCTGGTGTCTCCATGAGGCTTTGGGTGTAGAGGAGTCCAAGCTGCTTGAGCTATTTGTGTGTTCCAGGCTTCTTCTGCCTTAGGGAGACCCAGCTCTTGAGATGTGAATCACTACAACCCCTGGTCTAATCACAGAATTATAACTGGGTTCTGTTCTTCTGCCACTGGACTGGACATAAGGCTTGCATTCTATGCTTTCCAGGGCCACTGAGCTCTAAAATACTGGTGTTCTAACTGGCTTGTCTTCTCCCTCTCTGCATGTGTGGAAGGTATGGGAGAACTATGTAGAAGCTAGGCAGCAGAGGGCCTGATGCCCAGCTGTTGGGGTCACCTTGCCGAGTGCCCCAATGGCCTCTCGGTGTCCCCACAGGTACTACAAGAAGTTCTCCATTCCTGACCTAGATAGACACCAGCTACCTCTGGATGACGCCTTGCTAAGCTTTGCCCACGCGAACTGCACCCTGATCATCTCTGTAAGATTCACCCAGACTTCTTGGACACTGCATCAGGGAGAGTCTTCCTCTTTCCCTGCCCACTTCCCATCCCATAAAAGTCCTCAGTTCTAGCCCCAAGCCCTAGGGTGTGCTTGTGGGAGAACAGACATCTCTAATTCAGCATAGGGGAGAGCAGGGAGGGGGCTCAGGGAGGAGCCTGACCATATGATTCACAGCTAGAAGAGGGTAGAGGATGAAGGGGAAGCGGTGGAAATTGAACTTGGGTTCTGGTCCAAGGTCTGCTCCTACTCAGGCACGTGACATTGAGCAAATCATTCAATCCTATAGGCCTCAATTTTCTCGTGCAAATAAGGGGATCAGAAGGAGTAGGGGCCCCAAGTGTGTACGGAAGGAGAAGGGACAGTGACTGAATTATTTTCTTCTTCCTGGCTCCATCCACAGTACCAGAAGCCAAAGGAGGTTGTGGTGGCTGAGTCCGAGCTACAGAAGGAACTAAAGAAGGTAAAGACAGCCCACGGCAACGATGGGGACTGCAAGACCCAGTAGTTGGCCCCTGAGCCTTATACCTCCAGCACAGGGGGTGCCGTGAGACTTCAAGGCTTGGTCCTTCTTGACCACGGCAGCCTCCTATCTTCTAGGAGCTATCACGGGTCTACAAGAACTGGGCCGTGGGGCACTCCTATCCAGTGAGTCATGGTCATATTTCCTGAGTAAAGTCATTCTGAGCTACTTACTGCACGGGGAATGCCCTCTTGTTTACCTCTGTATGCTACCTGGCCCCAGACCCCACTGGCCTCCCTCGGGAGGGTGTGATGACATTCCCTTCTCTATCCCAGGGACCTTCAACATAAAGCCTTCCACAAAAAGGGAGAATGGGGTGGGAGCACATGGCCCTAGTAGGGCAGGGCTGGCCTTTCCCTGCAACCTGTTTACACAAACTCACAGGAAGACCAGGCTGGAGGGAACCTGTGCTACCATAGCTTGCGGAAGTGGCTCAGAGGAAACTCCTGAAGATATGTGGGCAAGGGAACGTTTTAAAAATGCAGAAACCAGCCAGGTGCAGTGGCTCATGCTTTAATCCCAGCACTTTGGGAGGCTGAGGTGGGCGGATCACGGGATCAAGAGATGGAGACCATCCTGGCCAATATGGTGAAACCCTGTCTCTACTAAAAATACAAAAATTACCAGGCATGGTGGCGCATGCATGTAATTCCAGCTACTCAGGAGGCTGAGGCAGGAGAATTGCTTCAACCTGGGAGGTGGAGGTTGCAGTAGCCAAGATCGCGCCACTGCACTCTAGCTTGGGCGACAGAGCGAGACTCCGTCTCAAAACAGCAAACAAACGAAACAACAACAACAAAAACAGAAACCTTGGAAATAGAACACAGGATGTTAAGGCATTGTGGGTAAAAAGCCAGAATAAGGGTCATAATGTTGCCAAGGGTGTGTGTTGGGGTAGGGGTCACCACAGGTAACAACTGAGCTCCCAGCAGCCTGGACCCTTTCCACAGTCCCCTCTGCAAACCCACAGGTGACCCTCCACACCCCAAAGGCTAAAGAATAGGTCATCAATGGCAACTGTTCCTGAAAAAAAGAAACCTTTGTTCTTTGGGACACAGAGCCATGAGGCTGGTCTTGTCGTTTCAGCAGCACACACAACCCTGAGCTTGGGTCTCCTGTTCCCTTCTCCTGGGGCCTTCTGGAACTATTCAGCCAGTGAGGAACCAGATCTGTGAACAATCAAGCTTTATTTTTACAAAAATGAAAATTGTAGCTTGTCTCAACAGCCAGCCTGAGGTAGGGCTGGCTCAGAACTCAGAACTGCTGGGTTCCCTCTGCTCTTTATTGGTTTCAAAGCAAAACCAGGTCACAGTGCCCCAGGAGGGAACCCCCGGCCCCAAGAGGTTGGTCAAGGGTGAGGTCTGGCTGGTGCCAGTGGGCTATTGGCAGCCTTACCTTTCCTTCCAGGACGGGGCAGAAAGGAACCATCTGGGAAGGTGGGAGCACCTCACCTCACTCTGTAGGCTATCATAGCTCTAATAAGGGGTATAGGATGGGCCTCTCCAGGCCAGATCCTTGCTCTGGCCAAACAGGGACGCAAGGCCCCGGTTCAGCCGCACTCTTCAAAAGCAGCAGGTCCTGCCTCTCCAACAGGTTCCTGGGAGGGACTGCATCTCTGGTAAGCCCCAAAGCCCCAGGAGTCAGAAGCCTCTAGTGCAAGGTGCCTGAGCACTGGGGTCACAGGCCCAGGAGCACAGTGGAGCACTGGGGAGGAGCTATCACTGCACCCTCCAGGCAAGAGAGGTCCCTGAGTAGCTGGTTTCCCTGGCCCAGAGGCAGGGGTGGCCCTGACGGTCATGGGTTTTGAAAATCCAGGACATGGAGGTTGTAAGACAGCGCAGCATAGAGATGCTTGGTGGTGAGACGCAGGCAGTACACAGGGCTGCTGAGGGGGGTCGACGTCAGCGGGAAGGCCTGGAATGGAGGGCACAGGAAGTGGTAAGAGCTTTCCAAGTGGGACAGAGGTGTGCCATAACCCAGGATCCCCAGGCCCAGGGGAAGAGGGACATGTGCCATTGTAGGCTTCTTCCAACCCTTTCTAGGCACATCCTTGGCTACCTCACCCTCTCCCCAGTGCAGCCCATAATCATGAGTCTTGGCATCCTGGAGAAGAGGTGGGCAGGACACTTACATGCAGGCAAGCCCTTTGGCGCCGGTCCCACAGCCGTACAACACCGTAGTAGGAGGAACCTGTGGCCAGCAGGTGGTTGCCATCTGTCTGCAGGCAGTACAGGGTGCTGTCATGGGGCTCCTCCCACTCCATGACACATTTCCTGTCCAGGAAGAGGAGACGCAGAAGAAGGTTTAGGGTACCCTCCACCTCTGCCCCAGCTTTCTTGGGCCTAGAGTGGCTAAGGAGCCATTCCGGGATGGAGACAGAAGCCGAAATCATCAGATTCATCAAAAACCGAACATCATGGGAGAAAGCATCTTCTGTAGAGGGCTGTCTCACCATGGCCCAGACCACAGAGCAGATTATGCCTGCACTTCTGTTTGCATATGGCCAGCTACTTATCACTGGACTCAAGAGAGGAGAAGTAACACAGGCCTCAAGAAAGGCTGGGATAGAATATTGAGGGACAGTGCCCTGATGGCTCCGGAGGCTCTGGGAAACGCCTGCCTTTGCTAGGGCCTGTTGGCTATAGTTTCCCAAGCCACTGCGAGCAGGGCTGCCCAAGTACAGGAAGTCTAAGCTTGATATGACCTTGCAGGATTCTTCCTTCCCAGCCCTGACATGGAGTCTCTGTGCCCTCTCCCATGGGCCAACCCAGGACTGGAGAAAGGACCAGGATTGGTGCAGACCCCCACCACCTGTCCTCTGTGCCCAGCACACTCACCGGACACTGGTGCGGAGGTCCCAGTAGCGAACATAGGTGTCATAGCCACAGGACAGCAGTGTGAAAGGGGACTCATACATGACATCCAGCACCCCAGCCCCTGGGGGAAAGTCACTGCCCAAGTGTGTCATCAGCTGCCCACTGGGAAGGGAAGGACAGAGTGAGGCTGCTCCACATGGGCCATACACATTCGTTCCACCTTCAGAGGGCATCAGACCTTGGGGAAATATTCTCTTTCCTCAGCTAGAATGAGACTCAAGGAAGGGGGCTGAGGGAAGAGATGCCCAATTCCTACCCACCTCACCCCTGCCATGAGGCCTCTGCAACCAGTCCCATGTCCCACCCCTCCCCCAGCATCCCAGGCCTCAGCAGCTCCTCCATCACACCTGCATGCCAGCTGCCACCCACCCAGCCACTCCTCCTCAGGACGATGAATGGGGCTTGCTGAAGGGGTCGGCCCCCCTCACATACACGTACACATACACATACACACACACACTTGGTTACTTTATACTTCTTGATCCTGCAGGTCATGCAGTTCTGAGCTGCCTGAGTCCAATGCCTTAATTCTTGCCTGTAATCTGGGGCTCAAACCTCACTGGGGATAAAGACCACACAAAGGGAGAAGGGGAGTCCCAGGAGATGTTAAAACAAGTAAACACCTTTGTGTTTGGGGAGAGAAATCGCTGAGAAAGCAGCTTAGCGAGCTGTCCCTGGTGTTCCTGGCCTAGCTGGCCCCCAGCCCGGGGCTAGCACGCCTCTGTGATCACAGCCCCCAGCCTGCGGGACTCCAGCCTGCTCCCCCCACCCTCACCCCACCCGGTGGCCGAGAGCAGATTACTGAGAAGAACAATTTCTTTGTGACTGTGTAATTCCCTCCGTGACCGCGGCAGTGGGCAGACCCTTTGCCCTGATGCCAGACCCCTAGCAACCATGTAGGGGGGCCTCCTGTCCCTAGCAACTACCCCTCAACATCAAGTGCACCTGCTAATCCCTGCGGCCAGGGGATGGGTAGAAGTATTGAGTTTCTGCAGAATTATTGGGGGGAATGAAGGAAAAGGGGCGCCCTCCAGGCCTGATGCCTCAGCTTCCTTTACCCATGAGATGCTGGACTCTCCCATGCCATGACAGGAGAAACAAGGCCATGGACACTTCAAAGGGATGTCCAGGTAAGAGGCCCTGGCATGGAGTGAGGGGACTTCATGGCTCACCAGCGCAGCTTTGGTCCAAGCAGCATGTCAGCAAAGGGCTTGAGTCAGACAAGGCAGCCAGCCACACGTCTGAATGCAGATGTCAGGTCTCATCCTTCCACCTCATTCAGACCCTGACCCACAACCTCCCTTCTCCCTGACAGAGCTGCCATCTTCCCTTAAGGCCGAAGGAATCAAAGGAGGAGACTGAGGGTTCCTTTCTGCCCCTTCCACCTTTTCCCCTTTGAGCCCTGGGCAGTGAGCCCTGGCCAGGAGCACTGCTGCCAGTGGGGAACTAATCCCCAAGTCAGCACCCCTGCCCCCAGCCTCCTTCTCAGGGAAGTTCTGGTCTTCGTCTCAGTAGCCTAGAGCTGGGCCTGTGGGGAGAAGATGACAAGCCTCTGTTGGGGGGCTCCTGAGAGGGATCAGGCAGAAGCCTTCTCCCCAGATCAGCATCCCTTAGAGACTGCTAACATTGGCTCCCAGAGAAGCCCTGCCTTCCCAGATGGCCATCAGCCAAGATTCAGCCACCCTGGGCAGGCCAGAGCCCTGTAGGAGAGTCAGTCTCTCTCTCACAGGTATACTGGGTGCATGCTGGGTAGGGGCTGTTTGGCTCCACAGTTCTCCTCCCTCTTCCAGATTTGGGGGCCCTGCCCCCTCCATTAGTGAGGCCTTAAGGAATGACTGAGGAGCTCTCCTCTTTAATCTATAGAAGTAATTTCATGTTTGTTTGAAATAGAAGATGAAAGGCAGTGGGGGTTGGGAGGACTGAAGCCCAGCATGGCTCTACCTGCCCACCCTGGTCCCTGGGTTCAGAGGGAAGGAGAGCTGGGCACTCATGGGGCTGCACAGGGACAGCAGTATAAGAGGCCCACCCAGACGGGGCTGCCAACCTGGGCCCCTACTCCAGCATTCATGCCACCACTGGAAAATGTCATGGCCATAAGTATCTGCAGTAAGAAATACAGGACAGCCCAAAGGGTCCCTACCCTCAGGGGGAGACCCAAGGGCCCAAGTGAGCACCAGGCCCTGGGGGCCAACACAAGTCCTGAGAGTCCCTGGTCTGCCCACACAGCCTGGCCAGGAGCTGAGAAGTTTCTTTCTGCTGCGCTGTTCTCTGGTTCTCTAAAATGGCCACACACACTTTAAA